TTCTTCTAAGAAGGTGGTTATTAGGCTCAACAGAGAACCTAAAAATTTTATAGCCACTTTTGAAAGACATGTATCTTTGCTCTGGAAACTGTTATTATGTTAAAGCTGTAATGAAATGCTTCTTCTAAAAAATTGTATTTATTTTTATTTTTATTTTATGTGTGTGAGTATATTGCCTGCATGTGTGTAGGTGCACCTGTGTGGTGTAATGCCCCGTGAACTTAAATTCTTTAGATACATTGTGGTCCCACCAAGAAACTAAAGTGAGAAGAGACAAGTCGAGAGACAGGTTCAAAGAGCCATCCTAAAGGCAACATTTGGAAACAAAACCAAAGGCTCAGGGATCTACAGGAGGCTGTTCATCAAAAGACTCAGATATCTTCAGGGACATGTGACATTCATTAGGTTGAGCACAATGACAGCTTAATTATGCAATTTCACGAAATGCCATCACCTCAGTGAGCAGCTGGCTTGATTGCTGATGGACAGAGGATAGAATTAGCCCCTGGAGGAGCAGTGGTGTTTGATTAGTGTAAGCAGAGGCAGAGTAGGCGTGAAAGTTCTCCCCAGTCCTCAAGTGTGGGACTGAAGACTGGATGAAATAAATTAGTTTCATTTGAAAGAGTAAATAGAAAAATACAGCAAGGTTAGGGTAAAAAGGACCAACTACTTAGAAATATAAGAAATGCAGGAAATGAGACAAAAGTTATTTAAAAGAGGGGTTCTAAGGGCTCTTTGACAAGATAATATACTAAGACAAAAGAAACAAGAAGATTATTATAAGCCAGAAACATTTCTCCACCATCACTCATTAACTTTGGTTTGGAGGATGGAAGGTGCTGCACTTTGTCTGTGGTGTGTCCCCTAAAGGTTCATGTGCTGAAAGTGTGGTTTCCGATGTGGTGGAAGGTAACTAGGTATAAGGCCTCCATTTTCATGAATGGATTAACGTTATCTCTCAGGAGAGGGTCTAGTCTCATGGGACAGGATTGGTTTACATGAGAATGGGTTGTTATAAAAGCAAGCCTGGCGCCTCCCAATTCCCTTTTCTGCATGTTCTGTACATCTCTCATGTATGTGCTCCCATCATTACCATGTGACCCTCATTAGAGCTTAGGGGATGTAGGTGCCCAGCTTTTGAGCTTTCAGAATTGTGAATAAAATAAACCTCTGTTCTTTATAAAACATTCTACCTCAGGCATCCTGTTATAGCAATTCAAAACAGACTATGACAGAAGGGCAGAGAATTGGAGAGGAAAGGAAAAACAGAAGAAAAAGATGGCGGAGAGGAAGCGGGAAGAGGCTCCTCAGAGAATTGCAGCATCAGTCAGTGGTAGCTGACCAGGCCTGAATCTGGGGATGTATGCTTCTTCTGGAGGAGATCGGTCTCGACTTTTGGTCCTATTTCTGATGCTATGGGGCTTTGGGATGATCACAGATGATTTTCAGACCCTGATTTTCAGTACATTGGTTTGGGGTTGCTCCTCTAACTAGGAGGGAGGGACACTGCTCACCTGGGTCGAGGTGCTGTGAAGCTTCAACAGTCCGTTCTCAAGCCGCTCCACCTTGGACTTGAGTTCTTTTCCATTTCTATCCAACAAGCTCTGGTAGAGTCTGATGAACTCCAGAAAAGACTTGGGAGTTGTGTAGTTGTAGCGTTGCTCATTACTCAGGTAAGCCTGGGATGTTTGGTTGACACTTGTGTGGACAAAGGCCATGAACTTGCTAATCGACTGCTTTAGTGCAGGCTAAAATCACAGAGCAGGAAGTAACGATGGTGACCGTGGTTATTCAGCCTTTCCCCTCAAGGGAAATTGTGCTCCAACGCTCTATCCAAATCCCAACTGTAGGGGCTAGAGACTGCTTAGTGCTTAAGAGTGTTGCTCTTGCAGAGGACCTGGGTTTGATTCCCAGCACCCATGTGGTGGCTAACAACTGGCTGTAACTCCAGTTCCAGGGGATCTGATGTCCTGACCTCCTCGAACATTGCATGATACAGGTGCACTTACATACATGCACGCGATACACTCATATATATAAAATAAAAATAATAAGTAGAATATTTAACAAATCCCAACTGTAGGGGCTAGAGACTGCTTAGTGCTTAAGAGTGTTGCTCTTGCAGAGGACCTGGGTTTGATTCCCAGCACCCATGTGGTGGCTAACAACTGGCTGTAACTCCAGTTCCAGGGGATCTGATGTCCTGACCTCCTCGAACATTGCATGATACAGGTGCACTTACATACATGCACGCGATACACTCATATATATAAAATAAAAATAATAAGTAGAATATTTAACAAATCCCAACTGTAACCTTGACCTCTGAGTGCCTGAAGTCAGGAGGACACCGAGGAGCATCCCCTTTCCCTCTCTTACCTCCATGTTCTCTGTTTTCTGCAAGAAGCAGAGGCTCACGGACTCCAATGCCTGCTGAGGCCACTCGTGGAACCATTCGATGGCAGTGCAGTTCACAATGGCTGGAAACTTCCTGCTGCGGATCCTCAGCTTGTTCCCCACAGGGGAGAAGCAGAGAGTGACCTGAGAAGTCAGTAGGGTTGGGAGAAGCTATCAGAGAAGCAGCCACAGGTTTGGGTTGTTGCTGTCCCAGAAAACTGAAAAGCATACCCCCAGCAGAGACAGAATCTTTCCATGCTAGTCCATGGAAGATCAACATGGTCAGGGCTGCGCTAAGCATGAGAGAACCCCATTCATAAAGCAGAGGAAAGCGCATCCTGGCAATGGTGCTCAGCCTGAGAAGGACACTGCACCCTCACCACCTATTCCTGAGACAGTCCAGAGGGTGCAGCACATTAGTAGACTTTCCCATAGCCTCCTCTGGGCCATGCCCTGCAGTCAGTCGTTCTGTACCTTCAGCTGTCGTCGGACCCGATCTATGAAGAACTTCCAGCAGTTCTCTCTGTTGTCAACCAGACCTTGGCTCTTGACCTCGTTCCTCACATTGCTTAAGATGTTTTCAACTTCCTCATCAGTGTAGAGATCTGGGATCTCTCCTGGGGATGAATGGGGCACAAATGGGCTGCTTTGACATCTTGCTAAGGGATGCCATCAGAAAAGGGGAGTTGTGTGGTCTTGGGACATGGGTCTCTTGATTTTTTCCACCATGTTCAACTGCACTTACTGGTGAAATTGGACAGACACCATTGATATATCATACCAAGACAGGGGAAGGACTACATTCTGAAAGGAAGGGGTATGGGGCACCTTGTCTTGGGGGCAGCATGTACCAACACCTCAGTGGCTGTTTCTTCTTTTGTTGAAAGCATTTGGTTACTAACCACTATCTGTGGAAACTGTACCTTTTAATAACTCACTATTGAGCAGCAAACATAAAATGTGTTTATAAGACTGCTGGTAAAGAGTCAGGAGAAACATAGATAAGTGCTCATGTTAAAGGGAGCTGAGCAATCACTTTCTACAGGAGAAGGGGAGAAAGAAAGGGTGCACTTGTGACATTTAGTGTGCCACACAGTGCCCAAGTCAAAGGGGAAAAGATGAAGTACTCAATAACTCAACAGACAGTATTTGAAAAACTGGGACCCACAAAATTGTGGTTGGATTCTTACCTTACACTGTATAGTAGACAAATATTGAATCAATTGGCAATTTAACTATTAAAAATCCCATAAAATACTGGAAAAAAAGTGAGGGAAAAATTCTTATATCCTCTGAGTGAGAAAGGATTTTCTAAGTAGAACTCAATCTACTTTAAAAGGAAGATAAATTTGGTACACAAAATGGATGCATTTGATAACTTAAAAAATGACATGAAGAAAACACCACAAAGTACAAAAACAGTAAAATACCCAGGGGAAAGTCAGAGGACAGACATCAACTCAGATTATTTGTTTACTATGTAAAGAAATTATCTACAAATAAAAGACCAACAATCGACAGAAAGGTGAAGGTGAGATTTCGCAATATAGAAAAGAAGAATGTCTTCTGGACATATGAATAGGTACCTACCCTCACAGTGAGAACAGAAATGTTTATCAAAACTCTTTATTGTTTCGTTTATACAGGTCAGGTTGGCAAACAAGAAAAGACCCTCTACCTTACTCATAATTTCAGAAATGTACATTCAAACTATGCCAAATCATTGTTTTGTTAGTCATACTGGCAAAGTCTTAAAGTGAGATAAAATACTGTTTTAATGAGGCAGTATATGAGACTAAAATTATATGCCCAATCCACAAATGAACAAAATAAAAAACGCTAAGTAAATATCTAACAATTAGCATATGGTAGTTAAGTAGGATTTTCCTTGAAAATGCAAAGATAGTTGCATATTAGAAAAATATACGAAAATAATTTACTATATTAACAGATTAAAAAAGTAAAACAGGGGTCCAGTGAGATGGCTCAGTGGGTAAAGGCACTTGCCGCCAAAACTGATGATCTGAGTTCAACCCCTGGAACCTACATGGTGGAAGGCGAGAACTTCAAGTTGTCTTCTGACCTCTACACGTGTTATGGCATGCATATGCTCCTTGCCCCACAATAAATAAACATAATAAGAATATTTTTAAAGTAAAATAATATGACCATTTGAAGTAGACACAGTTTCTAAAATACTGTTAGAAAAAGGAATGTATAATATTTGCCTTAATCTGATAACAGATAGCAACCCCAAACCCAAAGCAAGCATCCTAGCTGATAATAAAATGCTTTTTTTATTTTTAAATAAAGGACAAGACAAGCATAACTGATACCTCTCTTTCTATTCAACATAATACAGGATGATCAGACTGTGCGAAAAGTTAGGAAAAACAAATGTATGTACAAGTATAGTTAAGAAAGCAATAAAACCATTATCATTTGAAATCTAATTTTATACACAGAAAATCTAAGAAGATATTCACACAAATAATGAGAACTCATAAGAACATTCAATGACAACCTTACTGGACACAAAGGCAATATAGGAAATTAAATTGAATTTCTGTTCTCCAGCAAAAGAAAAAGTTAATTTAAAAGTTACCACTTTAAATACCAACAAATCTATAGGCATCTAAGTAATGAGTACCTAATGTATACAAGGTATTAATTCTGAAACAAAGTGTTATTGAAAGAAAGAAAGGATATTTGGGGGAGAGAGATGTATGCATGGGGGGTGATGCAGTACTACAACTATCACAGGGGTGCAATTCCGACATAATATTTGATACTAACAAATATTTTCTAAAATGTACAAGGAGGAGAAGAGTCAGAAGACATTTACCTTATCAGAACTCAACTCTCCTGAAAGCTATGATGGTTAAAGCAATGTGATTTTGGTCTTGGGGTAAATTAATAGAATAAAAGTGAAATATCTAGAAACAGGTTTGTATCTAGGAACAAACAACAAACTAACACACAAACAAAAAGTCTAACATTGAAGACTGGTAAGCAAAGGGGACAGACTAATAAATAAATTAGGATAATTCAATATGAATTCCACAAATATAGTTAAATTATTATTTGAAAAAAATTCCAGATGGATTAAAAACATAAATAGGAAAAGTAAGACAGACTAGTTTAAAAACTATAACAGGACACAAGATCTGAAACAGCATGAAAGAATAAGACATTAAAATATGGTTAATTTTCATTACAGTAAAAACAAATTGTCATGACAAAGTCAGATACAGGTTTTAAAATCATATTTACAGATCATGTTATGAGGAAAGGGCTTTATGTATCCAAAATACATAAAGAATGCCTACAACTTCGTAACTAAAAGACAGTCCAAGGGCCAAAGGTAAACAACGCAAGGAGGTGACTCACACAAGAGGGACAGGAATAGCCAATAAATACTTGAAAAGCTGTTCCATGTTAGTTGCAAAAATGAACAGAAAACACTGAGATTCCATTTCATTCCTCTTAACATAAATTAGTGTCAGATAAAACCAAGTGTTGGCAAGGGTGGGAAGAAAATAGTATCCATGAATTTACTGGACAGAAATTAACAACTGATCTGGAGATCAGTTTCACACTTTCTTTGGTAAATGTGAAATGTGCATATGGGACAACCTAGTCACCCAGCACCCACTGAGTACTTACTGAAACTCTGGTACATATAGGACAGGATAAGTTTTAACTTTATGGCACTGTTTGTAATTGCATGGGTGTTTGTTTTATTGCTTTTTGAATGTTCAAAATATTTTATAAAGAAATAGTGTGTGGGAATGTAGGGTTTGGGTCAAGGATTTTGTTGTTGTTTGATTAGAAGTACATTGCTCTTGGATACCCACCAGAACTTGATGGTAAGGCCTTATTGCTGGAGACACTACATATGTGAGGCATAGAACAAACAAGGAGAACTCAAGCTGTTACTGACCTTAAAGCTTCATCTCTACTGGCAAGCTTCATAGTGCTAGAAGATGCTATGTATGCTACCAGAAGAAAAAAGTAATCATCAACCTTATCCAGCTGTGAACCCTGTTAGCTACCATAATGACTGGCCTGGCAAGATATTTGTATAATAGTGGCACAAATGTTATTAGAGTAACTAACCAACTTCTGATTTCCTTTAAGATCTATTTCACAAGATAGAACCCATAACTGACAGTGTTATCAGGGCCAAGCCCCTGTGGTTAGACAGGTCACAGGCTGTAGGAAGCCTACTACTATTGTTCTTCTAAATTGACATAGTATTAAATGGATTCCTAATGACTTACTGTTATAGATTAATTCATCTCTCAGCTCTCACCAGAGAAGCTTTTTGCAGCAGATGCCAATTAACACAGAAACCCATAATTAGACTGTGGAATGCTCAGCCATTGTGGAAAACCTATATCATACCCTCTCTTCCCAAGATTCAGGAATCATTTTGGAAGGGGGATCAGCAAGACTGTAAGAGCCAGAGATGGCAGAAGAATACAAAGAAGCTATGTTGTCTGGACACTGCAGAGCAGTTGCACCTATGAACCCACAGTGCTTGTGATAGCATGCACAAAACCTGTGCAAGCCCAAGCCAAATAGAAGCCCAGCATGGACAGGGGAAGTAGACAGGAAGCCTCAGCCAAAGCTGAGGAACTGTTGGCAATTGATAGCTCCTAGGAGAGGGAGAGTCAATTTTCTTTAAGATTGTAAAATCTGGCAGGTTGACCAGACTCCAAAGGATGGACCCACACCCAAGAGCAATTGGGGAACACAAATTATACTTGATAGGTTTTTAAAAATATTTTATTATTTTTATTTTATGGGTATGAGTGTATTGCCCGCATGTGTGTAAGTGCACCCGTGTTGTGCAATGCCTGCAGAAGGTCAGAAGTGGGTGTCGAATCCCTTGGAGCTGGAGCTACAGATGGTGTCAGCTGACATGTGGGTGCTGGGAATCCAACTCCCGTCCTCTGAAAGAGCAACCAGTGCTCTTAACCACTAAGTCGTCTCGCCAGTCCACTTGATAGGGTTTTTATTTTTTATTAAAAAAATCATAATAGAGGATATGAAGTCTGGGTGTGAGATAATAAGGTGGGGGTACAGATGTGTTAGAGGGGTCTGAATATGATCAAAATACATTGTATAGGTAGTGTGACGGTGTACACCTTTAATCCCAGCACTCAGGAGGCAGAGGCAAATGGATCTCTTTGAGATCAAGGCCAGCCTGGTGTCCATAGTGAGTCCCAGGTCTGCTGGGGCTACAGAGAGGCACCGTCTCAAAAAAGACAAAAAACAAACAACAAAGAAGCCAACAATAAAACAAAACAAAAAACTATCGAATGATATTCTCAAAGAATCAATAATTTTTTTTTTTAAAGAAGCACTCAAACGGAGTTGGATTGAGCCACACTTGTGCCTTCCTGCAGTGATCTGGATTTGGTCTCATGGCCTCTGTGTTTACTTGCACATCTTTTTTTTTTATTAAAAAGAGCTTATTGATTTATTAAAAACCATGAAATGTAGAAAAGCTCAATAAAAATATTAAATATATGTACATATCTAACCACTGAAGGCAATGGTAGAGAGATGCCTCTACTGTGAGGCGTGGAGTCACACTCCGTAGCTCATC